TACAACAATCAAGACTATCCTCCACCGATAGTCCAATACAGTTATTTCTAAACAGGAAATAAATGCACCAATTTGATATATTATCAACAGTTTAACTAGGTGAGCGACAAGTGAGTCCAACTACACCCTTTAACCCCATATCTTTCTAATTTGAATATGTCATATTCAATTTCTCAATTCCCTAAATTACTTATTCAAATTAATTTATCAATGTAATTAGGGCTTTACCCATAAACTACAAAACAACACTAAGGTTCCATTTTCTTCAATAGTTCAACATTAGCCTCATTTCTCTATATCAAACATGCATATAGGTTTACATATGACAAACCCCCATCTTTTGTAAAATTACAAAAAAAACCCAAACTTTCTCAAAAATACCCAACAACCCCCAACATATCAAAATGCTAAAATTCATAGACAAAGCTCATAAGGAGGAGTAGGATATCCCTACCTCGAAGTTAGAGCTCAAACGGAGGAGGACACCAAACTCAAAGTGCTCCAAACTCCAAACTTTTCGGATCAAAACGTAGCCCTCGAGGAGAACACTCTAACTAGATCAATCCTGGGAGAGAAGGAAGAAAGTAGTGAGAGAAGCTCTAAAAAATAACTTTTCGGAAAAGTAAGAGAGAGTGGAAGTTGAAAAGTGATTCAAGAATGCCTAGCTGCCAACTGATATACGCATGATCCGCTCGAGAGGAGAATAGAACGCTCGAGCGTCAAGCACAAAAACTGGACCCGCTCGGGCATAAGAATGCCCGCTCGAGCTTCAAGAAACAGAAATAAAACACATCCGCTCGAGCGCAAACACCAATCCGGTCGAGCGTAGATTCTCCTTTCCCAGTACTTTTACAGACAATGAACTACCCGCTCGAGCTCCAACATACCCGCTCGAGCGCGACCCACTCGAGCGTAAGAAAAACCACTCGAGCGTGAAAAACATTCCTGTAGAAGTTTTGCAGAGGCACGAAATACTGGGAGTGTGTAAACCCCGCTCGAGCGTAATAATACCCGCTCGAGTGTACCACCAAAGAAACGAACTCCGCTCGAGCGCAGAATCATCCGCTCGAGCGTAACACCAAAAACCTGGGCAACAACACTAGAGACCAAAACTCATCCTACCAGTTCGAAACCCGCCCAACACATCCTAAAACTCAAACATAGAGAATTAAAGGATGTCAACAAGATATATAACTACCTACTCCACGGAACCTAAGTCCGGAACACTGTACATAAAGGGGACAAACTCGGGATCGCTATAACCTCCCCCCCTTAAAGAATTTCGTCCCCGAAATTAAGAAAACAACACACTTACAAGGTCAACCGACCACAAAGCACTCAACCCCCGAGCACTTAGGTAAGAAACTATTCCCTTAACAACTTTGTAGTTAACTCTCACAACAGAAAAGACTAACCAAGGAAACACGTTCCACAGACAACACTCAGGGACAAAAGACCTCAACAAAGCCAAACTCTCCCCGGGATAAATCACCAAAACACCCGACTAGCGCTCCCAGCTAAGTCACTTCTCAACAATTATAATTTCAAATAAAACAACCAACACAAATCTTTTGTATAATTATAAGGGAAATCATTCTCTTGCTCATGAGGCATTTCTCAAAGAAAATCAAATTTTCAACGTTGGCATTCTGAAGTAAAAAAAAAAAAAATTTTGCAATTCCCATGCGAAACTTAAAAATTTTGCAAACACTTTTCATAAACACGATGTTACCCATAACACATAACCATCCACAATTTGTTTGGCAAAGACCTCACATTGAAATTTCTCAACAATATTACCATTCAATATTCAACACCCTGACCCATTACCGGTCACTATATCTCTATACAAGAGATAGCCTACAGTATACATTACAATATGTATTACCCTCATGCATTTCTTCCAAATCTAGCAATTTCCAATATACATGATTCGCAATTTCATATCATAGTCAGTGCTCATGATATATTTCTAATTCTACAATACATTCAGCATATGCAATGTTACATTAAACTTTCATTTCAAGGCAAGTTTCAAAATACTTCCACGAACCAAAAACATGTGCAATGTTTTTCAACTTAAGACATATTCAATGCTCTCTAAACTTTTAACGAAACAACAAGAATACAACACATGCCCAAACATCCACAAATAGATTCGGATATTTCTTCCGGACCTGAAATTCACTTACCCAAGTGGTTTTCCCCAACCCCGTTATGTTTCCACAACACCTCACTTAATGGAAGGGTCCCATCCTCCAAGACCCAATAACAATGATAATAGTAAGCCACACGCAACCACTACAGTGTTCTGAGACATCCACTACGTCTCGACTACCGACAATACTCAAACCAGCATTTAGTACTTACTACCCCAACATAGGAAATATGAAATCATTTTTACACAAGGCTTCTAATCGACTTTCATAAAACAGGAGCGCAAGACGAAGCAAGGGTAAGGAACAACATTACGGCCCATTTACACCCTAAAATTTCAAGGTCTTACCAAAGGCACACAACGTGTAACCAGCAACTCAGACTAGGTCACACCTAACTTCCCACAAAATATTCCATTTAGGTTAAAGAATCTATCTTATTGCTCCGTTTGTTTCAAAGCACTCAGTTTTTCCCAAAGGTATTCAGACTTACACCGTCACCACTTAAACACGTCATTTACAACTGGCCACAGCCGAACTCAAGATTCTCCTCAAATTTCGAAAACAAGGATCGCAAACTCACATTTCGATTCAAAATCATTTTAGTTTACGAAGAGTACTCAATGTCCCTCAAGCGAATCACACGTAACCAGCCCACAAAACCCGCCATACTCACAGTGATGATGCAATACCCAAAAACAGAACTTTCAAGAAGGGATTCCTAAACATTTGAAGTTCCCAACAACGCAACGACCTAAAGGATATCATTGCACACCCTCGTGCCTTACAATGCATGAACAAGGACCTAATGAATCAAAATGATTCTAACAGAGTGCCTCACTCACTCTTCACAACCTTACCACCTCACTTGTGTCACCACCATCCAAACTGGACGACGGATACTTATAACTAAGTGACCTGGCTTAACCAAACATCCAACCTCTCGATTTTAGTCAGAAACCACACTACTGCCTTAACAAGGTATTCACCTGGGATTTCTAAGACTGATCCCCCTTCTACACATCATCTAATAACAACTTACGAACCACACACTATCACGTACCGTACTAAGCAAAACCTCCATACTTTACAAGCTATCTTACTCCCATACCGAATCCCTCAATAACCCATAGGGTCCACTCTTTATTCCAAATCTTACTTGTCATTCATCCCTAGAGTACCATCAAGAGGCTCAACCTCCATGCCAAACTACTAGCCAATGTTACTGCTAGACAGCCACCATGAACCAAACCCCGACACCGTCGCATGTTGCTGACAAGGCTTTTAAAAATTCACCATTCTAACTTTCTAGAGGAGCAAAGTCCTCAACCTTCTCATTATCATCCCAAACCTTTCCTTGCAGAGACCATACCACAGTGACTCTACTCACGGGTCACTCCCAAACCATGGGTTATACACCCAACCAACCCTACCGCCGGTATCGCCTGGTCTACCCGGTATTAAGGTACAAAACCTATCATATTCTACCATCATAAAGGAGCCTGGAAACTTAAGAAGCACCAATTAGACCACCACTCAGGACAGAACATTAGCTGTTTACCACACACCACCCCCTGATACCGACAACCACTATCTTATGTAGGGTCTCACACTTCCTCTAATAAAACTACCAATCGGTACACATGCAAATTTGGCGACGTTACCTATCATGAAGGGATAAATCTGGCCCTAACAAAACTGTGCACTATGTCCCCGTACAATATCATGTTAAACATATACAACACCAAGTATTAATCACACACTTCACATCCCCTGGAGGAGTTCTCCCAATAAAAGATCAAAAATCTCTACCGAACACATAAGATTAAATGAGTAACACCCAAGAAGTTCCGTACACCCGGCAAGTATACCTACTCTAGCCCCATAATAGCCCTGATTAGGATACGCATCCCTCAATAATACTTCCAAATTTGAACGCATGGCTTCTCAGCCCTCATTTTCCCAAACCAAGTTACACGCATATAAATGCATTATTACCAAAAAATTTTATGGTCACATAACAACTTATTATATTAATAAAACTTTACTGCTACAACCAGCTCCAATCCACTCAATCCAAGGAAGTTAACAAACAAAGCATATATATATATATATAAACATACGGTTCAGATGTTTCAACATTCCCAAAATACATTGGTTACACAATAAAACCCAATGATTACAAAACGATAAACCACCGATTACAAAACGGACTAGTCAAAACAAAACCAACCCATCAGGACTACCACTACTGCCGTCCCTCGCTGGACCGTCAAAGTTGGTAATCCCCAAACATAAGATAACCTACGAGCTTACAAGCCACGGACAAGAACTACTGATGTGCCCCAACTGGCCACACCTGGAACAATTGCGGACTTCCCCAAGTGGGACTTGGGAACTCAACTCTCCTGAGGCTCTCGAAATCTGGCCTGATTGTCTCCCAAAACAATACTGCCCTTGTCCAGTCAAATAAGGCTGGACCCGACTAGGTTGTAAAACCCTCAAAGAAGCCCCTCGCTGAGTACAGAAACGACTGATATGACCTAGCTGATTACACACCCAACAAGTAAATGGCTCCATAGCACAAGACTGGATCAAAGTCTGAGCTGATGAGGACCCCAACGACTGCTTCCCTACCGAACATTTGATCGGTCCAAAACCCGGCTGATTAGATGATTCTAATGGTACAACTACTGGTCGGACTACCAACCCTGCTCTCTTCTTCTGTGGGCAAGCTAGGGACTTGTGGCCCAGCTGACCACATTCGAAACAAGTGACAACCTTACGTTCACCCTTTCCCAAACCTAGACTCGGCACTGGAAAAATAGAGCCAGACTAAGCTCTCTAAAATTGTTGTGGATTAAAACCCTTCTGCCTCTTAAAAGGCCTACCAACACTCTGAATCACAGGAGTCGCCGAAGTGGCCTCCTCCCTAACCTGACCAATACTCAAAACCGTAGCCTCTCCCCTATTTTGCCCCATAGCTAGCACCGCTGCCTCCACATGAGTTGCAGCCCGGACAAGCACACTATAACTCCTATGCCAAGACCCCGCAATCCTTTCACGGATGTCGTCACACAGCCTACTCTCAAATTCCGAACAACGCAATTCCTCCGTCTCCACCAATTCTGGAGCAAACCTTGACAGGTTAGCAAACCATCTTTCAAACTGCACCAAGGGTATAGTACCTTGGAGTAACTCCACAAACTGTCTCCTCAACTCTTCTTGTGCGGAAGGGGGAAAATCACAACTCCCTCGTCTAGGCATCCTAGTAAAAGTAACAAAGGTATTAGTACAACGACAAGGGTGCCGAAACTATCTCACTAGCGTCCTAACACGATGGACAACTGTAATTCATTCCACGTAAGCACATAACCACATAAGCACTTACGAATTTCATTTCCAGATAATGATAGTTCCGAGGCGTTACTAAAGTTCCGGTTAGAAACAGCATTGATCAAGTGCTTTTCCAACAAGACTCACAGAAACCCAAGGATCCAATCACCATCCCGGAAACTAAATCCCATACCCAAGTAGTCACATAAACATGTTATCACATAAGCACATAACATTATATCTAAGTCTCTAACAAGCGAGACAAACCCATTGTGATACTAATCACTTCCCACGTACCCAAAGTATTCGAACCCGGTACGCTTTGATACCAAGTTGTAACGCACTCAAAATAAACCCATAATATCATACAATCAAGTTGCAGGAAAGAGATATTATATTACAATCATCAGAGTATCCTTACAAAATGTATTACATGTTGACAAGAAAATTAACTGCCCTATAGGCTTACAACTTTCCAAGTGAACACTTGGTTACAAAAGAGAGCACTAACTCGAATACATATTAAGCCCTTGGCTTGAATTTACATGAAATACATCAAAAGAAAACACAACAACAAAACAGTTTGTCTGCCTCTAGCCTCCCAAGCTATGTCCTTGGGGGTGGCACGTTACTTGTACCTAAAAATGATGTCCCATATAGGGTGAGCCAAAGTCCAATAGAAATACACTAAACCAACTATCAACAATGACTAAAAATTAGCAGTTACTAGATGGTCAACTCTTATACATCCACTTATATCACATTACTGTTCCATGATAATCATGTCCATATTACAACTTCACTTTCCACTTCTTATTCAACTTTGAGTCTGAAAACAAGGCTCAGTACCCTGGCCAAACATTTGATGAAATTATAGTTCATCACTAGAACATTTTCAAAATTTATGGTGGATACACATTTTGATGCTATATCAAAGTCAAACAAAAATATTCCCATATTTCTCAAATGATATACATTTTAGTGCTATATCAAATCAACAAACAATTCCATACTTCACGAATGATAATGATATACATTTTAGTGCTATATCAAATCAAACAAACACTTCCATAAGTCTCAAATAATACACATTATAGTGTTGTATTAAATGAAACATAAAAAAAAACACTTCTAATTCGCAGCCTGATACACATTGTAGTGCTGTATCACTGTCACAAGATTCGGTTTAGAGGTTCAGCCCCGTTCTTCCAATAAACCGTGGAGTACAGCCCCGTTCTCCTCCCACACAATACAATGTATATAAGCAATTATCATATACAAATTCAACCTATCAATACAAAATTTTGATGTATTAAACCAATTGCCATGCTCATTAGCATACTCAATAGATTAGCTTTAGATTGCCTAATCATCATACATTGCCTACAACAATCAAGAATTGAAATCTTATTTACCATGCTATAATGAGTTGTACAAGAAAATTAATTTTCTTGTAACTACCACTATTTTCATGCTAAACAAACCCTTTTTTTTTTCTTTTTTTTTTTTCAAATACCAATAGTCCAATACAGTTATTTCTAAACAGGAAATAAATGCACCAATTTGATATATTATCAACAGTTTAACTAGGTGAGCGACAAGTGAGTCCAACTACACCCTTTAACCCCATATCTTTCTAATTTGAATATTTCCTATTCAATTTCTCAATTCCCTAAATTACTTATGCAAATTAATTTATCAATGTAATTAGGACTTTACCCATAATCTACATACAACACTAAGGTTCCATTTTCCTCAATAGTTCAACATTAGCCTCATTTCTCTATATCAAACATGCATATAGGTTTACATATGACAAACCCCCATCTTTTGTAAAATTACAAAAAAAACCCAAACTTTCTCAAAAATACCCAACAACCCCCGACATATCAAAATGCTAAAATACATAGACAAAGCTCATAAGGAGGAGTAGGATATCCCTACCTCGAAGTTAGAGCTCAAACGGAGGAGGACACCAAACTCAAAATGCTCTAAACTCCAAACTTTTCGGATCAGAACGTAGCCCTCGACGATCAACACACTTTTTGTAAAGGCCAAAGGGTAGGAGAACACTCTAACTAGATCAATCCTAGGAGAGAAGGAAGAAAGTAGTGAGAGAAGCTCTCAAAAATGACTTTTAGAAAAGTAAAAGAGAGAGTGGAAGTTGAAAAGTGATTCAAGAATGCCCAGCTGCCAACTGATATGCGCATGATCTGCTCAAGCGGAGAATGGAACGCTCAAGTGTCAAGCACAAAAACTGGACCCGCTCGGGCGTAAGAATGCCCGCTCGGGCTCCAAAAAATATAAATAAAACACATCCGCTCGAGCGCGAACACCAGTCCGCTCGAGCGTAGATTCTCCTTTTCCAGTACTTTTCCAGACAATGAACTACTCACTCGAGCTCCAACATACCCGCTCGAGCGCAATTCGCTCGAGCGTAAGAAAAACCACTCGAGCGTAAAAAACATACCTGCAGAAGTTTTGCAGAGGCACGAAATACTAGGAATGTGTAAACCCCGCTCGAGCGCAATAATACCCGCTCGAGTGTACCACCAAAGAAACGAACTCCGCTCGAGCGCAGAATCATCCGCTCGAGCGTAACACCAAAAACCTGGGCAACAACACTAGAGACCAAAACTCATCCTACCAGTTCGAAACACGCCCAACACATCCTAAAACTCAAACATAGAGAATTAAAGGATGTCAACAAGATATATATAACTACCTACTCCACGGAACCTAAGTCCGGAACATTGTACATAAAGGGGACAAACCCGGGATCGTTATATACACAAAAGTCACAATGAAACACACTTAAGACATATCAAAAAGGGTTGGGTTTCTCTTAAATTCACATCTTAAATAGGGGAAACTTGAGGGGCCTATGAAGGCCACTACAGACCATTCATTTTGTAAGGTACTTAATGTATATTATCTATACAAAAATTAAGTCGATCAGATAATCGTAACATTTTCATTTTGTTGTGTTTGTTTCTAAGAATTTAAATGGTCCATTTTCAAAAATATATTTGTTATTTATTTTTTTGAGACAAATGCGATAAAATGAAAAAGTTACGATTATCAGATCGAGCTAATTTATTTTTCATGAATGGTATACATTGAGAGCCTTATAAAATGAACAGTTTGAATTATCAAAACAAGACCCATAATGGTCTCACGGGCCTCTCGAATTGAGATGTAAATTTGAGCTAAGGTCAAACCTGACCAAAAATCTGGTCATAACCACAATAGAACATAACTAACACCATAATGAGTTATAAGCCATAGCTAACACCATAATAGGTTATAACCAAACATCATTTGAGGCATAATTAAAAACTTTTCATAACCGAAACAATAACTACAATAGGTCATAATTAAGAATTATTTTTTATTCATATAACTACTGAATTATTAACAAAAAGGTTACTTATTTGAATTAAAACTTAAGGGAGCGAAATGTAATTATATTGAAACTATAAGATTCATTGCATTTTTTTCAAAAGTCAGGGAAAGTCATGTCTATATATTCTGCCTCTGGGCTAAGTTGAAACTTTTAGGCCTTTTTGGACTGATCTATAGATGCACATGATCTTTTGTGGTTTGCGCTGTAAGAGCTTTGTGCCTTCCATGCTCCTTCTACATACTTCATTGCATTTAAAAGATTATTATAGTTTCGATTTGAGTAATGCTTAAATTTTTATTTTTATTTTTTCTTTTTGAGAAACATAATTGCCAAAACACAAGTATTTTAAGTAATTCTAATATCATCTTCAAGCAGTAGTTATAATCTTATCATAATTCTTGTAAGTTGTTTCAAGCCCAGTAGTAATACAACTCCTATTATGAAGCAAATGTCGCAATCTATTAACTATCAATAAAATTCCTACTCCTCTAAACAACTGTTGAAGATATCGTCATTGAAATATATATGTATATATTATGTATTACTTTGCATTATAATATATACAAAGATAATTGTATAATTAATTTATCCATCATATACGTGTTTTGATAATTCCAATATATAAGGCTGTTGTGTTTGGTAGAGTTTTAGAATTATGATTTGAGAATAGAGTTGTATTTTGAGTTTGTGAGTTTTGGAATTATGATTTGAGTGTAGAAAATTTGTTTGGTTATGAATTTTAAAAAGAGTTTGAATTGAGTGATGTGACATATGATATTGAAAAGTTTGTATTTTGAAAAATGGGTGTAGAATTAATTTTCTAAAGTTGTAACCAAACAATACACTCAAACTAAGAGGCAGAATTAAATTTCGAAAACCCCACCAAATAGAGCCTTTACTTCGTTGTCAACACGACACGTTTTTGATAGTGTTCTAGTCAAAATTAAATTGCCTTAAATTATTATTAATTAAATATTTATCCACATTAGAATTATTTCTTACATAATAGTGCAACACATGGCATTACCTAAGTACTATTATAACAAGGTACTAAAATAATGGTTTTACAGCTTAGCAAAGCATGTAAGTGCATACTTCACCTAATATTCTGCCATAATTAGGCACTAATAATCATGCTTGCTCTTATGATTAACCTAATCAACCAAATCATGTTGTGATTTTCATATCTTAACATCCAATAAAGTAGCATCCAGTAAAGTGTAGAAACTTGGAACTACGGAAATAAATTAAGAATAATCCTTGGTAGCTCGAAATTCACTGGCTCGAATTGGCTCGAAACCCAAAATGACATCATTTTGGATTTTTTTTCTCCTTTTTCTTGCTTTTCGAATACAGAGAGATAGAAAAGAGAAAGAGAGAGAGAGAAGGAGAAAAGAGGAAGAGGAGGTGGAGAAGAAAAGAAGAGGAAGAGAGAAGAGGCGAGAGAGAGGAACCATCACCGGCGCCATCACCGACGCCATCATAACAGATCTATGTATACACAGATACACAGATCTGTGTATGTC